TAACTTTCATCTACTTGCTATGTGAAATTTGCTATGTGAAATTGGCCCAATACTGGTAACTCCAGACAGTTGTTGGTGTGATCCTTAGAGGCCTCATTTCTCTTGTACTTCTGCATGAGATACTTCAGGCCTCTGATTCCTGTCTCTTTCCATACCTTCTCAATGCTGAGAGGCAAGCAAGGGGGCGCATAACGGAGCATTGTTGATTCTGCAGCCACAAAGCCATTTCTTTATGCAGAACTAGGAGGTGCTGAGCTTCTGGGTGTATTCTTTGTAATCAGAAACTTGGTGGAAGACTAGATCAAGTCTGTCTGGTCCCATCTGTTTGATTGCAGCTTGTCTGCTATAGGTTCAGATCTTGTTTGTTTAACTTTACATGGTGGATGCTAATGCTGATGTCATCAGTCCCAGCTGCTAAAAATTACTTAAACTTAATGAAATACTTCCTGCCCTCCACCCCACTCCTGTTTAAAGTTCTGTGCTCTCTTGGGTTCCCTTTTGTGCTGGAGAAGTCTTTGGGAGCCTCAGGATTGGGGGCAAGCATTAGTTGCCAAAAATTGCTGCTGTCATCAGTTTCTATTGTGCAAAATTATGCAATCATCTTCTCTCAGTCCGCTACCTTCACAGGTGTGTCTGATGGGGACACAAGAGACAGCCTTCTCTCTTGCTGCTCCCAGACTTTGGAACTCCCTCCCACATGAGGTCAGACTGGCCCCATCTTTGCTATTCTTCCACAAGGAAGTAAAGATCTTTCTCTTCAGGCAAGCCATCCCTCCGTAACCAGCTACCATCTGTGATTTTTAGATAGATTGCTATGCATTACTGCTTTGACTGGATTTTTAGTACTACTTCTGTTTTCCTTACAGAGTGACATTTTAAAAATGGTATGCTTTTTGTTATATATTTTTATTGTATTTTTTCTACTTTTTAATCCGTTGCAACCAGAGTGATGTATTACAATATATTCCATTCGTTTAATCTTATCTTATACTCTCTAACATAGTATTGATCTAATCTGTTCTACTTAAGTTGATGTAGATTTCATCCAGGTGTAAAGAGGTTCCCATTTATTATTATCCTGTTTGTCATTTAATATATCTGTCAAAATATCCATTTCTGCTAGTTCAAAAAAATTTCATTAAATTCCTTCTTTGTTGGGATCTCTGTCATCTTCCACTTACTGGTACTGTATATACAATTCTAGCTGCCATTATCAGGTATAAGGTCAAATGTGTTTTGTTTTTTTCGAGCATAGGTGGTAATATATTCAGTAAGAAACTTTCTGGTGTCAAAGCAATTTTAACTCCTAAAATTTTCTCTATCATTTCATGAATCATTTTCCAAAATTCCTTGGACTTATTGCACATCCACCACATGTGATAGAAGCTCCCTACATTCTTTTCACATTTCCAGCACTTGTTAGAAACATTTTTATACATTTTTGTTAATTTCTCTGGTGTTACATACCATCTATAAAACATTTTGTAAATATTTTCTTTTAGATTTATAGATTTAGTCATTTTAATATTTCGTTCCCAAAGACCAGGCACTCAATTCTATATTATGTCCTATATTTTGAGCCTACTTTACCATGCAGTCCTTCACAATTTCATCTTCCATTTTTTGCTCCATTAAAGTATTATATAAGCCTTTAATCATTTTTTCCTCTGAATGCAGCAACCTCTTATCCAAAGGTATTTTGTCTTTCTGAAACCCTATAGCTTTATCTTTTAAATATCTTGATTTCAATAAGTTTATCGACCACCAGTCTAGGATAATACCTTGTTCTGCCAGTCCATCTTTGTTTTTTAGATTAAAACCTCTAATATCTCGACATATCTCCTGTTTATCCCTTGAGGTGTTCTTGCTGGATCAGAGAACGGTTCTAATGGAGCTACCCATAATGGTATCTTTCTGTAATGTTGTACCTTAACTGTCTTCCATACCCATAATAAAGCCCTCCTGATCAGATGTAAATTAAATGTTTTGCATTGCCTGTCATCTTGGTACCATAGGTATGCATGCCAGTCCAGTCTTAAATCATGCCCCTCAATTTTTAAGAGTCTCGGATTCTGTAGAATAATCCATTCTCTCACCCAGGACAAAGCTGCTGCTCTGTAATAATTCATCCAATCTTCTTTTTGGTATACTTTTTGATCTTTGCCTTAATATTGCTTGTTAATTGATATAAGATGCCTCCTTACTCATTGTTCTTGTGTGATTTTCAGATAGTTATTCATTACTGCTTTGACTTGTGTTTTCCTTTTATAGTGATATTTAAAAAATTTTGTACACTTATTGATCTTTGGCTTAATATTGCCTGTTAATTGATGTAACAAGCCTATTTATTCATTGTTCATAATGTTTAAATTATCACTTTTTAATTATGTTAACCACCATTATATAATTGTTTTCAACTTTAAATATTGTCTTTCATTGTTGTACGCCACCTTGAGTCCTTTTCAAGGAGAAAGGCGGGGTAAAAATATTTTAAATAAAAAATAGAATTTGGGCCATTGAGAGACTGGAGAAAGGGTTTTGCTGCAAAGTTGTCACAGTGTTTATGATGATTTCCAATGTAATGTGATTTAACCTGGAATGAGAATTTCCTAGTATCCTCTTACCAGTGTGAAGATGGAGTTGGTCCCAAGCTAAGAAATATACAAAATCAAAGGTCTGCAATACGAGACATTTGTTCTGGATTCTTGGGATCCTAGTGCCAAAGTGATTTGGGGAGGTGATGGGGATGGCGGTGGCACAAAATCAAACATTTGTAAGTGGAAGGAACCAGAAACCAGCTTCAGGATTCAGGGTAACATCACCCTTTAGCAAAAAGGTATCAGATCCCAGTACCAAACTGATTTGAGGCAGTGGATCAGGATGAAAAAGCAACCAGAAGAGAAACTCTGCAAGTGATTTAAACTCCATATTAAAGAGTTTCAGCAACATGGGGAAGGAGTGGAGATCAGGGAACCGAACCAAAAATGGTCTTCTTGCTTTTAGCTGCCAACACTCTTATTCAACCTCACACACAACATTCTCTCTTTCTTGGATGGTGAGAACAGATGAGGGCAGGAAGTCAAACGCTGAGTAAATATTCTGCTGCTCCTGCTGCTCTCCCCCCATATTATAAAGGGGAGAGACAAAGGAAAAGCAATTATGGAAACTAATTTAGTGATCAGGGAAGCTTTTTGTTTGAGTGGGAGATTTAAAAAAAAAAACAGAACCCATTAGCTCCAGTAACTTGTATTTTGAATCAGTTATTAACTATGATCTCAGATCCCTAACAACTCATAATAGGCCACCAATGCATCTTTATTTCCTCATTTTCTTTTTGCCCCTCACTCACTCATATGCAATATGAAACTGAGAGTTCAGCAGAAGGGGAACACAGCCAGGACTCCGACCGTCTGTCTCTGATAAGCAGGTAGGTATGGAGGCATACACTGGATGGCTCTGAGCCTGTAGTGGGACAGTGATCACTCTCTGGGGTATGCAATTTGCCCTGTATACTCAATTTCATTCCCTCTAAGGTAAACCTTAAGAGGCTTTCCTGAGAAACCACAAATGACCAGTTATTTCCAGTTTTTAAAAAAACTTCTAAAGCCTAAACAGATCTTCAGATGTACTGTGTGCAAGACCAACATTTTTATTTTGTTTCTCGTGATACAACTGGCATTTTGGGGGCTAAGCTCATCTTTCATTTTGAGTGGGTGGGTGGGTGCGAGGAAGGTCCTGGAGAGGCTGAGTGGCCTATATGTCACATCAAGGTCCATGAGGGACCCAGCGTAGCCTACAGGTCTCACTTTATCCATTCTTGATCCATATGACACAGTTCAAACAGTATGCTAACACTAACTGCCACGGCTACTCCACCATATGGACTGTTGGGATTTGTAAATCAGTGAAGAATTACTCTGCAAATTAAGAGGAATGTTTTAGATGATTCTAACCCCCCCCCCAAAAAAACCCCCAAGGGTGGGTGATACTTTTATTAAAGCACAAAAATATCAGAGAAGCTAGCCTTTGACTCCTACAGAAATCTTCATTAGGCATAGTAATGTCTAAGTGCCTCTGGAAACTACAAATCCCAGGATGTATACTGTATATGCATTTCTTTTTGGTTATTCTCCTCCATATTCAATTACTGTATATATTTTTCTCATTTCATTCTCCTTAAGTACAGTAAGTGATATGATTCGTTACAGCAGTCTTCCGGAGAATGCCTCGGAAGAGGCAGGGGATGCTCATCGCAACCCCCTCCCCGCCCCTCCGCAAAGCACACGGTTTTCCTCGCAACTTTTTATCTAAAAATCAAGCAAACCGAGCGTGGGTTCCCCGTCGGTGCAACCCAACGCAGGTCAACTTGGAAGTAATTCCGGCTGTATTTCAGGGTGTTTTGTTGTTGTTCAGTCGTGACCCCATGGACCACAGCACGCCAGGCTCTGTCTGTGTAAGCCCGTCAGGGTGTTTTACATTAATTCAATGCAGAATTTCAACCTAAATATAAATTTTTCGATATCTGCTCTTTTGTTTTTCTTCAAACTTTACCGCCAGTCCTCCGACGATGCCCCCTTCAAGTACAAGCCACCCCCACCCTCTCCCCTCCGCCATCCCCGAGAGAGGAAGCGCCTCAACCCTCGTTCCCCCCCCCCGAAGAAATGCTTATTTTGTCAAAGCAGCCAAAATTAAGAACTGCCACTGTCGCCGCCGCAGCCTATTAGTATTTTCCAAGTCGTTGAGGGAGCCCTGCGTTACTTCCGCCAGTCTCAGCTCCGCACATGCGGGAGACGTTCTCATAAGAACCGGAAGTGATGGTGGCGCGGGAGGTGGGGGGGCCCGACTGCGTTTTTCACCTCTTTATAGTTCCTTTCTCACTGGGGCGCCCCGCGGACGACAGCCATGTGGAGGCGCGCGCCCGCGCCGTGAATGGCGCAAGCGTGCTAACGCACCACCTGATCAGAGCCGGCGGGTGAGTGAGTGAGTGAGCGAGCGCGCGCAGGGGCGCGCGAGTAGCCCCCGGCCGCTGCTGAGGAGGACTGAAATGAATAAATAAAAACGAAAAACGCCCTCGTGCTTGCTTTCTCCCCCGCCTCGCTGCGTGAGCGTCCGGCTGCTGTGACGTCACGCCCCGAAGGCGAGGGGCGCGTTTGTGACGCCACGAGAAGGCGACTTTGTCACGTTGGTCACCCCGGCGCTGTCCCTTTGGCCGGGCGGCAGCGAGAGATTGCTTGAGGCTCCGACCCGGCTGGCTGTGTGGGTGGAGCCTGGCGGGTCGGGTCGGGTCAAGGCAGGGGACTCTGCCTGGCTAGTCAGGGAGAAGTGCCTGGCTATGAGGGAAGAAGCTGGGTGGGAAAGGCGGGGAACCTGGTGGCATACCAAAAAGAGCGTTGCTTTAACTGGCTTCCCTCTGGCTCCACTCCCAGAGGAAGCCAAACCCCCGGTGAGGCCTCGGGTCGCCCCTTGATGTCTGGCAGTGGGGGGACGTTGGGTCCCAAACCCCAGTCCACGGACTGGGGATTCTCTCGCCCCAGTTGTTGCTGCTTTCCTTAGGGATGGGCACGTGGGCCCTTCCTTGTCTCACTCAAAGCCCTCTCCCTTTCCCTGTGATGGTTGGTATTTTTTCTTTTCTCCACGTGCCTGAGATACCTTTATTTTATTACCTTTTTAAGATGGTGGTGACTAATATGGGGGGTATCCAATATCTTAGTCAGAGCTCTTTGATTAGAATTCTGCTTCACCTCCAAGTCTGACTTTTAAGAGGATTTACTGATCTGCATAATTATCTTGTTTGTTGTTGTGTTGCCCTAACTTAGTTGTTGGAAACTGACCACCTTTATTTGGTCTGTAGCGCAGAATTTTCTGTCAAGTAAAATTGCATGCAGTTTTAGCCTTAATTGGGCAGGTAATATTGCCACAGTAAGATAAAATAAGTTGTAGGTGATGTGCTGCTGCACTTCAGTTGTGATTGGGTTGCTCCAAATTCTCCAAGCTTGAAGATCTTAACAACAACAACAACAAAAATCTGTTGATCATTGGGTGTATCTAGATTGTCAACAAAACTAGCAGTTGAAAGGCATTTTGCAACAATTTGTTTTTTCTTAACTGATTTTATATGATAAGGGGGAAAAGTGCTGGGAAAACAAAGAAAGTTACAGATTATTACCATGGTGTTTTGTAAATGTCTGTGTTTTTGGAAATGTATCCACAGTAAAGTACTGTTACTGCAGTAGAAGTGAAAATAAAAAAGGACCTGCAAATAATTGTTGTATTATATCTACAGTCCCTGTATAAGCTTCCAGCCTACTTCAAACAGCATCTTACCAAGCCTTTTGTGAGATACATATTTCTGCAGCAGGAAGAGAAAAAGGAGTCTTTAAAAAAATAATGACTTCATTTTATTTTCAAGCTAATTGATGTTCAGGCACCAGTGATATTAGAGAGAATAAGGATGCTTCAGCTGTGCATTCATACATTTCATAACAACTGTTGTAAGATATTCCTTGGGCTTTTTGGTGGAGAATTTTGAAAAATGAGCTGTTCTCTATTGCTTCTTAAAAATTTTAGCTCATTAAAGGCAGCAAAACGCCAGTTATATATTTTATGGGGGGTGCCCTACACTTGAAAGTTATGTGTATCTTCCTCCTGGTATTTTTGGTATTGTGAAAATAAATGCTGCATCACAGTACTGTCATTAATAAATGATTTATTATAACATCTGAGTAGAGCAGTTATGCTTGTATTTTAATGAAATTATGTCTGAAATGTCACTTAGATTTTAGAAAAAAATAGTATATCCATTTGATTTTGCTTTCAGGAGGAGTCTTCTGAATTTTCTCTTGAATGGGGGCATGCTCCCTCCCACAGAAGATGGTCACCTTGAAGTATGATCATGGAAAAGGGAGTAAGCACAGGAGAAGTTCTTCCCTCCAAATCTTCTCATTCTACAGCAGTAAGAGTGATGGTGAAAGAACATGAAACAGAGCAAGCTCAGAAAGTGAGACAAGTAGGATTTGTACTTGTACATGCAGGTACAGATACAACATCTTTATTGAAAGGAGGTGGGATGGACCTTAGTAAATTAGTATATGATGCTCTGTGGGTGAGACATGAGATGTGGAATATATGTTAGTAAAGATGGATGAGCAAAGAATTGTGCATTTTATATGCAGTCCCTGTCCAGGCCTCCAGCCAATCAGGAACAGTAGCTTGTGCACAATTTGTGATATATAAAATGTTTAAAACAACATTGAGGTATATTTTCTCAGTAAAGTTGCAGTGGGCTGTGGATTTGAATTGTAACCTTCATTGTCGATTGGAATAAACTCTACTGTAAATAAGATAATTGGAATGAAATGAATTTATTCCAATCAACAATGAAGGAGGTTACAATTCAAATCCACAGCCTGCTGCAACTTTACTGAGAAAATATACCTTGACATTCTATTTACAGTAGAAAGGTATCTTTCAGCAAAAGATACCTGATTTTTCAGGCGAATATCCTTTTTCCCTGCTTTGAAAACTAATTTGAAAAATAAATTACTGCCTTTATCTTTGTGTTGGTTTGATTGACTGTAATCTTAAGAATCAAGATATACTAAGTAAAATGTAAGCGACAAACCCCACTTCTGTCAAGACCCACATTCCCTTTAGGATATATAACGGAAGGGCCATTTGTGCATTTATAGGCATACAGTACTAAAGTCAAAAATAGTATTGCTTTTTTTTCCTGCTTTTTCTTACCTATTTCTTTTTCGTCTTTCTCCCTGCCTTGCAGGATTTGGGGGAGTGTCAGATTGTTCTTTCTAGAAGGCTTTTAAAAGTGTATGTAAAATGAGAGCCATAGGTTGCTCATCCTTGGATTTAGGCTTTGGCTAAGGTCTTCTTGGCATAAATGCAAGCTCAGTAAGCATGTTCAGCAAATTTTGGAGGTTGTTTTCATGTTCAATTAACTTCACTAAATCTAACCATGTAGATTATTCAGGGCTAAGTTTTGTTTCATGATCTGCTTTAGGTTTTAGATCTAACTAGTTCTGATTTGATAGTTTCTTGATTTTTAATTAGGACTTTTGCCAGAAAGTTAACCATAGAGTCTACTTTAGTTGAAACTACCAACTGGATGTAGGTTCATACAGTTATGAAAATCCATTTGGCAATTTCAGTGCCATGAAAAGATAGTTCTTAATTGCTGCTTAATGCTGATAATTGGAGTGTTCATGACTTACAGTTAGATTGAACTACAGTGGTGCCCCGCTAGACGATTACCCCGCTTGATGATGAATCTGCTTAATGTTGAAGTTTTTGTGATTGCAAAACGATGTTTAGATGGGGGAATTTCGCTTAACGTTGATCGGTTCCCTGCTTTGGGAACCGATTTTTCGCTTTACGACGATGAGCAAACAGCTGATCATCGGGTTTCAAAATGGCCACCGGCTGTAGAAATGGCTCCCCGCTGTGTTAGGGACATATTCCTCGCATTACAGGCACCAGAAAATGGCCACTGTATGGCGGCTCTTCGCTGAACGAGCAGGTATTTCGCCCATTGGAACGCATTGAACAGTTTTCAATGCGTTTCAATGGGTTTTTAAATTTCGCTTGACGACGATTTCGCTCTACAGCGATTTCGCTGGAACAAATTAACGTCGTCAAGAGAGGCACCACTGTATGTAATATGTTGCATGATTAGTAAAGAATGTATGTACACATAAGTGAAATTCCACTATTTTATAGAGCGTGTATTTTTCCCCCTAAAGAATAACACAGTGTGGAACACAAAAACAAATTTCAAATTCTACCTATGTTTTTCTTTTTTCTCTTTCTCCTCCTGTGTAACAAAAATGAGCTCTTTGGGCAACTGGATAAAGAAAATAGATTAAAATTAAAATCCGGGAAGCGGAGATGGGATGAAACCACTTTCTTTGTTTAAAAAATATCTGATACAGATATCTGTCAGCTCTTTGATAGCTGCTTATCTGCAGTCATCGAAGAAGAAGAATATAGTGTGGACCCATGCCCCCCAAAAAGGACAGGGATGGTTTTCATAAAAGTTCTTTTCCTTCTTTTACAGTCAATGCTGCGTCAAGCCCCTTTTGTTTACTATATTTTTGTATCCCACCTTTCTCCAAAGGTGATTTGCAGAAAAGAGAAATAGGTACAAATATTGTAATATTCAAAAAGTAGTGAAACATATAATTATACTAAAGAAAAGACTGATAGCTGGAAGAAAATTAAAAACAAAGTTAAATCAAAGACTGCTGAAAAGAGTAGCATACCTCATTAAAATTGAGTGTGTATTGAGCAATATATAGAATTATTCCCATGCATATTCCTCCAGTGTAGAATTGTACCATGTGCATCTTACACTAATGGTAGCAGTCAGTGCACATGGTGCTCCCACAGTGATAAGCTAGTGAAGGGGATAGATTTTTTTAAAAAATGGAATGCAGTTGACTTGTATTTGGAGGAGAAATATTAATTGTATTAATTTTGTAAAAAGCTTGCTCTGTGTGCTTGACCAGCTTTCACCCCCATCTCAATCTGCCTGATATTAGGTGCAGGGTATCATTCTGAATCGAAAGCCAAAGAATACAAGCATGTGTGCAAAAGAGCCTGTCGGAAGGTAAGAGTTTATCTTTTAGCTGAAAATGTTTCAGATTTATTTGCAGCCCTCAGAAATTCTTAAAGTAAGCCTATTTGGTGTCTTTTTTTGTGGGCGGGGGAAGAGATGGTTTTTCTACTTTAAGAAGTGTTAAATATTTGATGATTTGAGACCTAGTTTTTAAAGGAAGTACAAATGTTGATATTCATAGCTGGATGAATATAAAATAGGAACAATCACTGTGTTCCTTGTGTAAAATGCAGAAACTTGTCATTGGTATGGCAACAGATCTGAACACATTTAAATTAAATTCTAAAATTTGATATTGGTGGCCATGTAAATCAGGAGATTGTTTCAGCAAAACTGGCAGAGAGCCATGTGGCAGGTTAAAGACTTAACAGGTTTTAGTTAATTGTAGCCCAGCTATTCAAATGCACAGAACATTAGACAGATATTTATAGGCACATGAGGAGGTTGGGAATGTAAAATGTAGTACCAATACATAAGGTTCAGCATTGTGATGGTTAAGACATCCTACCTACTTGTGTGTAGATCTGTCTGCTGAGGCTATACAGTGGTGCCTCGCATAACGAGTGCCCCGTTTAATGATGAATCCGCATAGCAATCTATTTTTTTTAGATCGCTAATGCGATCGCATTGCGATGTTTTAATGGGCAAAACATCGCATTGCGATGATCGGTAAGCGTTTTGCTTACCGATCTTTGCATTGCGATGTTCCTAAAACAGCTGATCGGCGGTTCCAAAATGGCCACTGGGTGCCCAAAATGGCCGCCGCAACCATTTTCGCGCAGTTTCCTCACTTACCGAGGGCGCAAAAATGGCGTCGCTATGGAGGAACTTCGCTGAACAATGAGTCTGGGCCTCATAGGAACGCATTAAATGAGTTTGGGCCTCATAGGAACGGTTTTTCCGTTCCGTTTAGCAATATTTCCACATAGCGACGATTAATCCGGAACGGATTAACGTCGCTATGCAGAGCACCACTGTATTTCATAAATCTGAAGAAGGTGGCTGCAGTCTATGAAAGCTTATGCCAAATGAAACTTATTGTTAAGCTCATGTTACTGTTAGTTTTGATGACATGTACTGAACAAATTTCTCGGGAAGCATTTTTATACCTGTTGAATAACTTGCTATGCCACTTGGTTCAGTTTGGTGGCATTCTAGAAAATGATTATGTTAAGTCTTTTCATCTAATTTCTTCAATACTTAGAAATGCATTGATATTTCTATTGTTTATTTTTCCATTTCTTATAAATATGGATAAATTGAATGTTTCCATAGTATTTATTTATATAGCTGTGCTTAAGCTGTAATCCTACATACTGTTACCCAGAGGTAAGTCCTGCTGAACCCTGGGTAGACTTACACTTAATTATATACACATAGGATTGCATGGTTAACCAAGTTCTTCCATATGTTTGAGCTAAATAGGAGCTTAGCTAGACTTCTTTTGTCTTGATGTTAGAGCTTCAGCTTATCAGTTGTCAAATCCCATTTTTGCTGTGTTTATGATGCCTTGTTGCTGGTGTCTTTTTATATGCACAAGGCCTGTTGTTTTTAACAGGGCAATCTCTGGTTTGTATAATGGAAAGCCAGAGATTGTTAGAGCAGTCTTGGTGCATTGGTCCTCAATTGCTAATAAGATTCTGGCTATTATGTAATCTGTTTTAAATTTCTCATCAGCCCATATCTCAATGGTTAGGACGGGAGTAGGGATGTCCTAGGTCTCCCAGTGTTGCCGGATTCCAGTTCTAAGCGGCATAGCCTGTTAGGAAAAATGATGAGAATAGTCCAACAGCATCTGGAGGGCCGCAGGAGTCCGATCCAAGATTAGAGCCCACTTTAATCTAGCTGTAACAATGCTTCCTTAAACTGAGTAAACTTCGTACTTTGCTTCTGGTTTGATCTTTTATGAAGCTCTTAGAGAAAGGAGGTCAAGGCAGTTGTTAAGAACAGTGGTATAGAATGTTCCCACTGCCAGCTTCCATCTTGTGAGGCACCTCAGTTTTAGCTTCTTTGCTTGGAATTTCCCTCAGCTGCCTGTTCAAAGCATAGTACAAGCAAATGTTGAAACCATGGCCAAGCCATATAATACTTTTTCTGCTGGTTTGTGATGATAGGTTGGTTTTGTGTGTTTACTGAGGAAATGTATTTTGGGAACAGAAGTATACTTTCTTTAAAATATCCCTACTGTAGTGTGGTGTAGTGAATAGAGTGACAGACTGGGACTCAGGAAGCCTGAGTTCAAATTGCTGTTCAGCCATGGAAACTCACTGGGGGTGTGGAACGGGTAGACCTCTTACTTAAATATTTCACTTTAGAAGCCCTATTAGGGTTGCTATATGCCAGTTCTGACTTGCCAGTACATAACAACTTAATCAATGAGAAAATAATTTTCTACTTTGCTTCCTTTTTGATGTAATGAAGTGAAAATATTTTCAATTGTCTCTCTGTGTATGGTAATTTAGGTTCCTTTTTGTCTCTTGAGTTGTTTTATTATGTAAAGTATTAGATTGTGCCCATTTGTTAGATTATAAATAGTGAAATAGATTCACAGTTTCTTTATCAGTTTCTTAGTGTAGTCCCTACATATTTCTAGAAAGATCTTTGAATGCTATCTTGATTTAAGGATCAAGTTACTCATTGGACTTTATTGCATGGAAGATTTCTCTGTGTTGTTCTGCTCTAAAGTTGGAACTGACTTATAGCAACCCTAACAGGGCTTTCAAGGTAAGTGAGATACTGAAGAAGTGGTTTTACTAGTTCCAACCCCCCCCCCATGAGTTTCCATGGCCAAGTTGGGATTTGAACCTCCACAGTACAAGTGAGTCACTATCCACTGCGCAGAAGATTTAGTATGCAAAAATTAAGAGACAAAACCTTATACCTAAACATTCTATCTTCTAGGCGATTGAAAAGCTACAGGCTGGGGCTCTTGTAACAGATGCAGTGACTGCAGCGCTAGTTGAACTAGAGGTACTTAACATTTATTCAGGCATTTATTCATTTTATTGTAGTTTGTTGACCACATTTTTCTTTTCCTATATTAAATGAATCTGCTGAGAAATATGCTGGGAATCTTTTACTATGTAAAAGGACATAGTTTAATGAAACTCCAGGGCTCTGTGTATTCTTTCCACTTTTTAGTGTTCCATATTTGTGCAGGCTTACTCCTTCCCCTGCAGGATTAGTCCATTATACTAGAGTCTTTCAGCTTTTTAATTTTCCTCTTTGGCAAGATATATGCCTTAATCCTAATTGGGGAGCCAGTGTTACTAGTGGTCTTGAGTGTGGTTTTTGGAAAGCCATACATTTATTTTAATGAGCTTGAGGGACCATAGTATAGCAAAACACAGTACTGACCTCTAAGGCAACACTTGCAAAAATTAACTGCTCTTGTTACTTTAGAAAAAGGTATAATGTTCAAGAAAGAGAAAAGGTGATATTAACAATGCAGTAGAATGCTGTTCCCATTCTTAGTCCATTTCAAGTCATTCAGCAATACAGTGGTGCCTCGCATAACGAGCGCCTTGTATAGCGACGAATCTGCATAGCGATCCCTTTTCCGGGATCACTAATGCGGAGGCATCGCGTCGGCCCCAATGGGCGAAACTCGCATAGCGAAGATCGGTAACCGTTTCGCTTACCGATCTTCGCTTTGCGATGCCGCGGAGTTGTTCCCATTCTTAGTCCCTTTCAAGTCATTCAGCAATACCTATAAATAACAGGAGTAAAACTGCTAGTATCAAATTGCTTAGTGTATTGCAATTGAAAGTGAAAATGAAGTATCCTTGTAGTATTTTGTCATTTAACTCTACAGGAATTGTAAGTATTTTTCAAATTCTTAAATAAATATTGTGTTCAATATTAAATATAGAACATTTCATAGTTGGTCATTAAGAAATTCTCATTAAGTGGTTGGCTGGAATGTTTATGAAAATAATATTGTGCATGAGGTAGACAGTTTTTAAATAGACAAATGAGTGCCAGACACAGATTCTTTTCTGAGTCAGCCTTGCTTGCTGTTCTTTTCCTTGGCCCATCCTTACATCCTTGACCCCTCATGTCTAGGGAATTTAGCCTATTTCCTTATTTCTTCTGCTGTGTCTATTCACATATAGCTCATTTCCTTGTCTTTGTCTGTGGGGCAGAAGCAGCTACTGTTGATGACACAATCAGGTTGATTTTTGTACAATATGGCATGCCTGTTGATTAGAAGACATAGAGAAGTAGGATTGCCCCACAATTATTTCCCTCAGTGATTCTGTTAAATTGACCCCTTTTTAGTGAGGTAGGTCCTTTATGCTTTTATGCACTTCGTCGTAGAGTGAAGTGTGAGGGCTGTAATCTCTTGAAATGTGCACCGTGGTCCAATTTATTGTTTCCCTAGTTTGAACTTTCAAGCAATTTAATATGGGAAAAGGTACAAGAAGAGGATTGGTTGTAGATCGCTAATTTCACCACTCTGTGCTTAATTATGTCTCTGGAACTCTCATGCAGTTCCTATGTGGCTCATTCCCATATGGTAAGTTCCCAAAAGACTGCCTCTAGCTTTCGTGTACCTCTCAGGTTTTCTCAGTTTTCTTTTTGTTCTTGTGCAGTTCATACCTTCAGTGAAAAAGTCTTTTATTCTGTTCACTGCGCTGTTCACTTACAGTAAAGTCAATAGTAAACCCAGAGCGTAGTCTGAAGATTGTGGTGAGGCAGTCTTGCTGAAATTCAGCTAAGAAGCTCTGAGTTTGGTTGATGGTTCGATGGGATATCAGTAGGGAGTTCTGTTTACTCTGTCTTCAGTTCCACCTCTGAAGGAAGATGGGATAGAATGAAAGATGATAAAAGTGATATAATAAACACTTCTGTTTTTCAGCTCTGAGTTTATGGTTCGATGGGATATCAGTAGGGAGTTCTGTTTACTCTGTCTTCAGTTCCACCTCTGAAGGAAGATGGGATAGAATGAAAGATGATAAAAGTGATATAATAAACACTTCACTTCTTCAGTCTGATTTAAAGAGGAAACGGAGGTAGTTGCTTAAGAAGCGTGAAACACCATTTCTCATAGGAATGCATTGAAAACCGGTTAATCCGTTCCAATTGGAACGGATTGCCATCGCTGAGTGAAAATCCCCATAGGAAACATCGCTGTGTGAAACAATGTTTCCTTCATTGCAATGTATTGAAGCCGACTCAATACATTCCAATGGCTTTGCGAAGTCCTTTTTCGCTCCTGTAAAAGTGTCTTACAATGTTTGGAAGCTGTTTTAAATGATTGCAATGGTTAGTCCACCTCCTGAAACCTATGCAAACTGATTTTGGTGTTGTTCTGACACTTCATTAATTTATGATGATTTTTTGAATTTTCTCCATTGGAAACCATTGGATGGTCTGCCTAATGGTTTCCAATGGAAAAAACAAAAAATCATCATAAATTAACGAAGTGTCAGAACAACACCAAAATCAGTTTGCATAGGTTTCAGGAGGTGGACTAACCATTGCAATCATTTAAAACAGCGTCCAAACATTGTAAGACACTTTTACAGGAGCGAAAAAGGACTTCGCAAAGGCATTGAAATGTATTGAGTCGGCTTCAATACATTCCAATATAGGAAACATTGTTTCACTCAACGATGTTTCCTATGGGGATTTTCACTGAACGATGGCAATCCGTTCCAATTGGAACGGATTAACCGGTTTTCAATGCATTCCTATGAGAAATGGTGTTTCACACAACGATGTTTCACACAACGTTGATTTTTTTGGAACCAATTAACATCGTTGTGTGAGGCACCACTGTACTTCTGCTTCATTGACTACACAAAAGCATGGCAGAAAGTGAGGGGGAATTAAAGAACCTCTTAATGAGGGTGAAAGAGAAGAGCGCAAAAAATGGTCTGAAGGTCAACATAAAAAACCCCTAAGATCATGGCCACTGGCCCCATCACCTCCTGGGAAATAGAAGGGGAAGATATGGAGGCGGTGACAGATTTTACTTTCTTGGGCTCAATGATCACTGCAGATGGTGACAGCAGCCACGAAATTCAAAGACGCCTGCTTCTTGGGAGGAAAGTGATGACAAACCTGGACAGCATCTTAAAAAGCCACCCTTTTTTCCTGCTTTAATTCAAGTCTTCTGTTTTGCTCCTTTTTTCAAAGTTTTGAGTCAGTCTTTCTCTCTCTCTCCCCCTCTCTCTCTATCTCTCTCTCACACATTTCCACCCTCAATTTTCAATAATTGGTCGCTTCAGTTCAGTATGTCCATTTCCTCTCATTAATTTAAACAAGCTGGATGAAGCTACCCTTTTTCCTGCCTTAATTCCTGCCTTCTGTTTTTCTTGGCTGTTCCTTTTTTCATAGTTTTGAGTCAGTCTCTCTCTTATGACATAGGGAGATCAATGTCAACACAATGCATTTATATTTATATAGAATCTAAACTATACTTCTCACAACTAGGACATTTATTTGCATGGTGGATAAAATCAATTGAAAAATAAAAATTCAATTTTTAAATTTAAATTGTGATTTAGGTCAATTTGATTTAAATCAAATCCACTCTGTGAATTTGTAAGTGTGACGTTTAACCCCTACTTGTTTCCCCAAACAAAGGGCTCATGTTATGTCTTATCACTAGCAGGAAACAATTGGGACGCTCCCCCTTTTTCTCACTGCCACCAGTGGATTTCCTTCATCCACAATATATAAAGACTTTACGCATTCAGACACTTGAGAGATTGCTGCAAACAGAATTGATTTATTGAAAGTTATTAATTTTAATTATACTGTAATCACAGATGTTTTTTATTCAATGCATACAATATATTCATTCTAACATCATATATCTTGCCACATTCACCACTTGCTCTATTTATCTTGACCAGCTTATTTCTGTTATTATTTCTTCTCACTGTCTCCCTGACTATCTCTCTCTGCTTCTTTCTCTCTTCTGCCAAACCTCCTTATATCCGTTGACTCTGCCCCTCCACTCCTCTCATAGGCTCATGCAAATGAGAACCAGACTGTGGGTGACAGGAATGACGTGGGGCAACCATCACTTATCTCCCCCCTTGGAAAAGTTTGTTTCGTGGGGGAAACCTTATAGTTTACCCTTATGAACAGCGACTTTGCAGGGAACAATTCATCCAAACCATTATTACAATAATTCGTTAACTATTAAATCATATACCATATGTTACTCTTTGACACAATATATTTACCTTATACAGTACTTCTACATAAATTCTTTTGGATTTTCTCTCACTGTATTTAGCAGTTCAGACTTATTACTTTAAGCATTTAGAACACTCAATACAATTATAACCATTTGCATTAATTATATTATTACAACTCACATTACTTTTACATTTATACCTTTACTTACTATTTTTTTCCAACAAGACATTGCAGTTTAATTATTTCTCAAAACTAGTGTCCAAACGGAACATTTCTTACAACATTACGCTTTTCCCCATCCATCCGTTAGTCCTCTGGTCTTCGAGACAACGCGTCAGCCACCACGTTCTGGGTTCCCTTCACGTTGTGAATTTCAAAATTGAAGTCCTGCAAGAGTAGGGCCCACCTCATCAGTTTCTTGTTATTGGCCTGAATAGTCCTTAGCCATAAATGTGGGGAATAGTCAGTGCATAGTACAAAATGTCTTCCCTAGATATATGGTCTCAGTTTCTGCAATGCCCAGACTACGGCTAGGCACTCCCACTCAGTCGTAGATAAATGCCTGTCACCTGCCTGTGGTTTCTTGCTGAGGTAGGTTACAGGATGATGGTTTCCGTTGTCGTCAGCTTGGCTCAGCACGGCTCCCACCCTGACGTTAAATGCATCCATGAAGACTATAAACTCACGCTAGAAATCTGGAGCTCTCAGGACTGGACTGGTAGTCAATGCTGTCTTCAATTTGTTAAAGGCTTCCTCACAGGCAGCCGTCATTGGGTTTTCTCAGCTTGTCGTTTGTGGGTTAGATTAGACAGAGGGGTGGCTATCTTGCTAAAGTTCGGCACAAAGCAACAATAGTAGCCGGCTAACCCTAGAAAAGCTCTTATTTTTTTCTTGGATGTTGGCTTGGGCCAATTGTTAATAGCCTCTATTTTTGATTCAAGGGGTTTGATTATGCCTCCCCCTACTACATGGGCTAAATATTTTAATTCTGAGCTCCCCAGTTGGCGTTTACTTGCTTTAACTGTTAACCTAGCCTCCTGTAGTCTGTGTAGCACTGTTTCAAGGTGGATTTTGTGCTCTTCCCAAGTCTGGCTATAAATCCCGATATCGTCCATGTACGCTACCATGAACTCTCTAAGCCCCTGTAAAGTTTTGTCCATGAGTCTTTGAAAGGTCACTGGAGCATTTCTTAATTAGAAACTCATGACCCGTAATTTGAAAAAGCCTAGGGGGCTACAAATGGGATCTCAGCAATATCATTCTTTCTTCCTCTTTCACATTAAAATCCCAGCATGCACGTTCAAAGGAAATGAGGAAGGATTCTGGGCAATCACCTTTTCTATATTGGGGAAATTTCTTTAGATCTATTTTTGAAAGATTTCCCTCAGCATTGTTGTTATTGTTATTTTGAGATGCCAATTCCAATTGTCTCATTTGTAATTGAAACTAACTTTTTACTTCTTTTAGGTGGCATACTTATGTGTTTTTCTTTAGATAAGAGCTGGTTTATATTTTAGAGAGATAGTCAGGCCTCTTTTTAAAATACAGTGGTGCCTCGCGTTACGATGTTAATTCGTTCCAGTGAAATCGCTGTAGAACGAAAACATCATAAAGCAAAATTAAAAAGCCCATAGAAACGCATTAAAACCTGTTTAATGTGTTCCTATGGGCTTGAAACTCACCGTCCATAGCACGGCCATTTTCGCTGCTCGTGCAGCGAGGAATCCGTCCCATAAAAAAGCGGGTGCCATTTTGTTTACCCGGCGGCCATTTTGAAACAGCCAATCAACTGTTTTAAAATCGTCGTTTTGCGAGAATCGGTTCCCGAAGCAGGGAACCGATCATCGCAAAGCGAAATTTCCCTATAGGAAACATCGCTTTTGCGATCGCAAAAAGATCGTCGTAATGCGGTTTCGTCGTTAAACAGGGCGCCGGTCTTGCGAGGCACCAGTGTACTTTTTCTTTCTAAGATACTATGTAGCTCTCCCTTGGCAGCTAAGGATGGCACCTCACCAGCCATGCTGTTCCTTGGTCTGAGACACCTCTTGCCTCCAGACACCAAACAAATTCTGATTTTTTTCAAGCCTCTGCTTGTTCCTGTCACCTCAGACCTGTTTTTGACCCTGGCTTCCACTTTTTCTCCATAAGTGCTCTCTTAACTCTTGGAGCCTTGGATTCTAAGTCAGCTCACTGGGTCTGTCCAAATCCTGAGGTAACCTTAAACAGATTGTTTTCTTTCAGAGTTGCTCCCTATCTTTAGTCCCCCCAAGATCTGCATTCAGGGCCCCCGCTACTAAGCTTTTCCACAAAAGCTCTATTGACCCTGGCTTCCACTTTTTCTCCATAAGTGCTCTCTTAACTCTTGGAGCCTTGGATTCTAAGTCAGCTCACTGGGTCTGTCCAAATCCTGAGGTAACCTTAAACAGATTGTTTTCTTTCAGAGTTGCTCCCTATCTTTAGTCCCCCCAAGATCTGCATTCAGGGCCCCCGCTACTAAGCTTTTCCACAAAAGCTCTAGCAAGTCAACCACTCCTTCATGACAGACCTCTGACTAACAGACACTCTTGACTCAGAAAAATTCTCTTTAAACTTTGGCTTTACTGGAATCTATTCATATCCCGCCGCTGGACACCACTTGTGACGTTTACCACAAAACCCCTGCTTGTTTCCCCAAAGAAAGGGCTCTCGCTATGTCTTCTCACCAGCAGATAAAAATTGGGATGTTCCCCTTTTTTCTGACTGCCACCAGTGGATTTCCTTTATCCACAATAAATAATAAACTTTAGTCAGACACTTGTCAGGTTGCTGCCAACAGAACTTACTTATTGAATTGTATTAACTTTAATGAGAATCAAAGATGTTATATATTCATTGCATATAATCAAATCATTCATATATCGTATATCTTGCCATATTCACCATGGCCTCTATCTATTTATCCTGACCAGCTTAAGGGAAAAGAGAGCTAGACTGGGAGACTGAGGTATAAAAGCAGGAGGAGAAAAAGAAAGGAAAGTAGGTGAAGGAAGAAGATATTTCTCTAGGAAGGGGTTTCTTAGAAATGGAAGAACTCTGGACAGGAGAGCGTGTTAAAATGAAACTGCCCCTAGAGGAAATAGAAAGGAAACAGCAATATTGCAACGTGAGACCTGAGGGGAGTAAAATAGGAAAAGAGAGCTGAAAAAGCAAAGAAAGGAAGGTTTGGCAGTGCCACTGGGGGAAGCAGAGCCAGTGGAAATGGACAGTATATATCTATTCCAAAAACGAAGATCAGTGGAAGAAGGGGGGCAAACTGGTGGTGATGTTGCATCCAGAAATGCCCACAGAAGGAGAGTGGGCTTTCACACCTGTTGCGGCACCTTATGTCCCAGTCTGAGGAAGCTCATGAGAAAACCCACAAATTTGGAGTGAACCCCCAATGGTGAACTCTTTCGATGCCCAAGTTAAGGGGCTGTTACGTTGAATGCAGGGAAACTGAGGGACCCGTTGGTCCAACTGAAGTTGTTGTTCATGGTTCTCTGGTGTTTGAAAATAAAAGAACAATTTAATGGTGGCCTATCTCCACTTTTTGGGGAACAAAAAGGGGAATGATTTTTTTCCAAAATTGAACCCACTCACAGGAAGACGGTCCTTTAGAAATTGTTTAAATTGTTTGATGGATGAGAGAAGGAGAAAGGGAAAAAGCTTTTCCAAGCAGTTGTCTGCTCCCCCATGCCCCAATTCTGCTGACTTTGCATATTGCCGATTACACAGGATTCTAGCCAGTCCAGCAAGCATCACTTCAAAGTGTTGTCAATGAGCAGGGCTTTCTCCTGATCTTTTATGAGCTAGCTGACAGTTTGCTTGTGATATGCTGAGTGTTTTTGTTCATTTTCTGTGTGGAAAGATCACAAGTTCATTCTGACAGATGATGCAGATTTGCAGAATATTCACCAGTAACTCTTTCTCTGATGCTGCAAAAGCAATAAAGGTACAGAAGGTAGTCTGCTGCAGTTTCCTTTGAGTACCTACTATATCTTTTAAGTTGAGGACAATTGATATTGATAGCAGGTGGTTGCAAAATGGGAGCCTGCTCTAAGTATTTTTCCTTCTGTGCAGATAGAAAGTGCGATGGATGTTATAAGCCCTTTGAACTCCATTGTTCTATGATTCTGACCACTTGGCTATCTTCCCCTTTCCTAGTGTGTGCCGTGTTGTCTTACTTGCTCCTTCTGTCCCACTCCATTACTGTCATTCCCTCCTTTGTTGTCATGCTTCCTGAGATTAGCATGCTGGCCTTATAAAACTGTTTTGGACATTAGTTGAGGGGCATTGGGTAACGTAGCAGTTGTCAGCCCAGATGGGTGTCTGCCATATTGTGGGGTTTTACAATTAGTAGGTCCTGAAAAGCATGTCTTTTGAAGGCTGCTGTTACTGTGTTAACTTCTATCTTCTGTCTGTTTTCTGACAATTTTCAGAAAATGGTGTAGATTATCGTACAAGGAAATCATTATATTACATTTTGTTACTTATTCTAAATATATTTAATAAAGTGGTACCTACTGACACTCTTGAGTTGGGAGAGAGATTCTATGTAATTGGGTACTGAATTCAAAGTGATGGTTCTAACGTATAAAGGTCTAAATAGCTTGGGCTGAAGCTATCTCATGGACTGTATCTCCCTTTGTGAACCTGCTCAAATGTTAAGATCATCAGGAGAGGTCCACCATCTTCATACGTACATTTGGTGGGTGCACAGGAGGGCCTCTCTGTTGCTGCTCCCAGACTTTGGAACTCTCTCCCACAGGAGGCTAGACTGGCCTCATCTTTGCTGTCCTTCTGCAAGCAGATGAAGACCTTTCTCTTCAGGCCAGCTTTCCCTGAGTGCCTGGGTGGGGTTTTTAAATACATTTTGGTGCCTTTCTACTTGGAATGTGTGTTTGGTCCTGCTTATGTTTTTTATGGTATTGGTTTGATCCTATTTAATATTTGTATACTCACTGTTTTTAGCTTTAATATTGTCCTTCAATGATTTAAGCCACCTTGTGTCCTTTTAAGGAGAAAGGCAGGGTATGTATGTATGGATGGATGGATGGGCAGACGGACGGATGTATAAACAAACAAACAGACAGACAGATAAATAAATAAATAAATGCATATATACATACTACAAGTAAATGAGGCATAGTGCTTAACCAAAGAAGATTTTTTTCAAATCAGTTCAGTAGTCTTGCAGGAAAGCAGAACTGTTTCACTATTAATTCTTCTTCATGATAGAGAGCACAGTTGCTGCTCCTTCCACTTGTCATTCCCTGTGTATCACTTTTGCACTTTTCCTGTTTACCCAACCTTTCATTCCCCAACATGTCTCCTTTCCTATAAGGAAATTTCAGTTGTATCTATCTAGTGGAATGAATAAAATAATGTTACAGTTTCCCCGAAAATAAGACCTAACCTGAAAATAAGCCCTAGTATCATTTTTCAGGATGCTTGAAATATAAGCCCTACCTCATAAATAAGCTCTAGTTAAGTGAAACCCTGCCCTCCACCATTGTGCAGCATTGTGCAGCAACCAGAAGATGACATGACTGTAAAATAAAACATCTCCTGAAAATAAGCCCTAATGCGTTTTTGGAGCAAAAATTAATATAAGACCCTGTCTTATTTTTGGGGAAACACAGTAAGTACCCAGTTGGTCTAGTAGCTGTTAGTTGGTCCTCATGATACTATGCTTAATTACAAATATTAACTTTCATTATTTTTTTTCAAATTTGTTCATAGGATTCACCTTTTACAAATGCAGGAATGGGATCTAATTTGAACCTTTTGGGTGAAATAGAATGTGATGCCAGTATAATGGATGGAAAATCGCTAAATTTTGGAGCAGTTGGTGCGCTAAGTGGTATGTTGATGATAAGAGGTGAAATGAAAAAGATCTTTACATGGATATTTAAAGCATTCTTCTCCAGTTTTGGGCCCTGCAGATGTGTTGGACTACAACTACCATCTCTAGAAAACATAGCTAATCATGAACTGTCAGGGGAAGATGGGAATCATCTTGCCTATCTGGTTAGGTAAAGTCTAAGCCAGTTTCTTAATTAGATTTCACAGTCCCATAAAAGATGCATGTTCCTTCAGATTGCTTTAAGTGATCTGTCATTGAAGATTGCATGACAGCAAGTACAGTGACTTGGATCTAGTCTTCCAACTACAGATGAATTGTTGCCTTCCATCAGTGGAAAGCATCTGATCCAGTGGATAGTTCCTGCTGCCATGTTGAGTGTAGAAGGTACTTTTCACAAGAGACCTAAAAAGAAAAAAAATGAGATTGTGTTGACCCGCAAGAGTAAATCACATTTCAAAATCCACAAGTAAGCAATGTCTTTATTAGAATCAACAGATAAACAATATATGCTTCCAAGCAATGTATAGAAGTCTCCAACAAGCAGCATCCATCTCAATTTAGCCTTCTTTCCAATGCGCTCTGGCAAAGGTCATGAAATAGCTCCATGATCCACTGACACATCAAGTTTCATTTTCTCTTGGAACATCTGGCCAAGTATATGGACTTGCATGCGGTCATCTCTGGTTGATTGCTGTTTAGCTTTGCAAAGTGTTATGTGGAACTCAAAAACATGTATACATTGTACACTAGTAGTTGATCTCTGTAAAAGGTACTGATCACTTGAATATTTGGGAGTTTGCATTTTGTTTCACATAGGATACAATGCTGGTGGCTGCAGGGGGAGGGAGAAAAATCTCATTTTATCATTAAAATCTCATTCCTTCTTATTACTCAGTGTCCAGAGTAAAACTCTGCTCCAGGAGTGATTTCACTGATGTTGGTGGGGGAGAACCTTAGAGCCAATACATTATTTTCTAATTACTGCTCAGACACAAACACAAAAAGCTTTTTGTGATTGCTTTGAGCTTTTTCACAACATTCCCTCAGATTCTTGGATTAGCTTGCTATCTTGTGTGTCCAGAATAGCACAGTGTGAAGCTAAGTACAGAATTGAGCATGTAGAAGCCAATTTTCTGGCTTCTTGGAAACTACCATTAAATATGTTTCAGCAAATCTGCAAGCAGTGGATAGTGCTGTCAAGTTTTTCCAGTAAGAGGCTGTATCTATTAGATTCATTGATCATATCTCCTATGTGCAGACTTAGTTATAGCTATTTGCAGCAGCATACTGATATCATTATGTAACATATTGCAGGCACTGGTTCATCTTTAAAAATAAGATGAGGAAATTTCTAAAATGCTTAGTGATGATCTGAACCACTGGTTCTTAACCTTGGGTTACTCAGGAGTTTTGGACTGCAACTCCCAGAAGCCTTCACCACCAACTGTGCTGGCTGGGGTTTCTTGGAGTTGCAGTTCAGAAACATCCGAGTAACAAAGGTTAAGAACCACTGATCTAAACAATGTAAGACTAACATATATTAGGTCTAGTACTGTCTCTTGCCCATGGTTGTGGTAGTTCTTTATAGACTTGTAGTCTGTGCCTAGATATGTGCTTCTAGTAGCTTGCACTATTTTTTCAGTGCCTCAAACTCCATGTCTGGAGAATTGGGAAAACCTCTGGGGCATATTTTTAGGCACCACAAAGGGCTGCAGGAGAATGAAGGCAAGAAAGTCCTTATTTCAGTGGTGCTGATTACTGAAGCATACTCTATTGGGTCTTGGTCTGTTTGTTGTTGTTTAGTCGTTTAAGTCTGGAGAATTGGGAAAACCTCTGGGGCATATTTTTAGGCACCACAAAGGGCTGCAGGAGAATGAAGGCAAGAAAGTCCTTATTTCAGTGGTACTGATTACTGAAGCATACTCTATTGGATCTTGGTCTGTTTGTTGTTGTTTAGTCGTTTAGTCATGTCTGACTCTTTGTGACCCCATGGACCAGAGCACGCCAGGCCCTCCTGTCTTCCACTGCCTCCCAGAGTTGGGTCAAATTGATGTTGGTAGCTTCGATGACACTG